TTGTAAAACCAGCTTGTATTGGTGTGATGGTCAGGTGTCCACAAACATCCATGCATACATTTTATGTAGTGTGCGAACCTACCTGAAGGGATTATTCGGGGGAACCTCACTCTAGTTTCCTGGCAGAAAGTAACATTTCGTGACAGTGTTTTGTTGATCTCCACTTTGTCAGAAATGAGGGTAATTGGGGATTTTTTTTCTTTCCAGGAGAGTAAAGTGAAGTTCAGTGGCCAGACTCTGGAGGCGGTGGAGGAGAAGAATGTGCTGGACCAAGAAAGGGTCTGTACCCTTCATAAGGAGCCCAAAATTATGTTATTTTGCAGTAAATTGTTACGTTGTATGGTTCATGGATAATGACCACCTATCTGTGCTCCACTATGCAATGTACAGATCATTGGCACGCTCAGAATTGGCTGCCGATAACAGGCGCCTCCTATAGACCACTCCGGTCTCTCCTTAAAATGGAGTTTGGTTTGATTGCGGTGGAGCCGCCTTTGTTCTGAGATGTGAACTCTCTGCCCCTTGGCAGTTACAAATAAAATGTTTCAATAAAATAGTAGTGTGTGTTTTTTTATGGCGGAAGTTTTATCTCCATTCATATTTTTGATTCTACTTATATGTCTGCAGCAGATCGCCAGCCAGCTAAGACAACCTAAAACTAGCGCCAAGATTCCATACAGTGCGCAGGACATACAGCTGACCCCGGCACAACCCTACATTATTCCCGAACCGGATATCACCAACCAGAGTAAGAGGACAGGAGCAGCTGAACGGACTATAATGAATATGGAATTATTTACTTATACTAACTCCTTCTTCCTCTTCTTTAGGGAACATCTCGTCTCCGTCGGTTCACTTTGACCCGGCAACATGTCCTATTATCCCAGGGCAGGAAATGACCATCGAGATCTCCAAAGGGCGATCGGGTCTTGGACTCAGCATCGTGGGTGGGAAAGACACTCCGCTGGTAAGGGTTTGGCTTTGGGCACAGCAGTGTCTGCTGGCTCGTCTCGGCTCTGTCACAATTAAGGCAAGCAAATTGGAGAGAGTTGGGTGAAAGAGCGAAATAGGAAAGCCCAGATTGCAGTCAGAGGCAGGAGAATGGATTGAGAGGACACAGTGCTAAATAGGAACAGGAAAACGATCACGAGCAGGTAACCCTTGCAGTGCTGGGGTAGCCCCACTACAAGGGTAAGGAATCATTTTCCCAGAGTTTTTCTTTATAGTTCATATTTTGTACAATAAATCCAAAACTTCATTATTTGTTTAAATTTTTTTTAAGCATGCCTGAAATTCGGCATTTATTGTTTTGTTTTTGGATGCCTGAGATTTAGCTGTCAGTGAGCAGTCAGTTTAAGGGAGAGTACGTCGGCTTTTGGTCAATTCCATTAAAAAAAATGTTTTTGTAATTTTATAAACTGTTTTTTCTATTATTTTTTTACATTTCTGGAAAAATCTTTAAGCCAGAATTTAGGTTTCTCCTGAAGGGAGGGGAGGGGGGATGACTATGCCTCTCCTCTGAGTCATCTGGCTGTGTGTGTACGCTGATCTCTGCTGCAATCAGAATTACAGCTCAGCCTCATGAAACCTGGTGCTCATGCTTGGATCCCATCCCTCCGGCCCCCATCGCTGATCACAAGTGGTGGGAAGTACATTAAATATAACTATGCCATATTCAATATCAGAACTGGAAATGTTATTGCCAAATAGTACCCAGCAGTATAGTGTCTAGCAGTATAGTACCCAGCGGCATATTACCCAGCGCCATAGTACCCAGCGGTATAGTACCCAGCGGTATAGTACCTGGCAGTCTAGCAGTATATTACCCAGCGGCATAGTACCCAGCAGTATAGTACCCAGATGTATTTTAAGGAGCCGTAACCAGAGCGTTATTCTTTTATGTTTCACGCTTTGTATTTTTACATGTAATGATTTGTTACTGTATTATGCTGCTGTTGTCATTCTGTTGTCTGGCTTTTGCAGGAGGCGGTGGTGATACATGAAGTGTATGAAGAAGGAGCTGCAGCGAGAGATGGGAGACTCTGGGCAGGTGATCAGATTCTAGAGGTAAGTGGGATGAATAAGCGATTCTCTACCTGTCAGAAACTTTGGTCTTTGCAAATTGTCTCACTGATGTGTTGTAATGTCTTAAAAATCTGGTTTAGTCTTTAAACTCTACACAATGGTTTTCTATTTTACATTTATTCGTATACAGGTTCTACTACTTGCTTAGTAGTGCTGCACAATGATTGTGACTCGATGGTCCTTCTATCTCACTGCATATCTACTAGTCTGAAAACAATAAGACTCTTATATTATAACATATCATATACTCCTAGTGCTACAGTTGTCCAGAGACCATGTTGTTTCTAGGTTTTAGGTCACATGAAAAAGATGGGGGGGGCAACAGTTTTTTTTTCATTAATGGCACAAAAGTTGCACATTTTATTTAAAATAATATGATTTTGTAAAGTTGACATAAGTCCATTTATGGAATTCTGTGATATGATTAGGGCTGCAGCTAACGATTATTTTCATAATCGATTAGTTGCCCGATTATTTTTTTCAACTAGTCGATTGGTTGCATTAAAAAAAATTCTCTCTCCCCCAACAAACTAACCGATAATGAGAATGGTTGCCAACTATTCTGATCGATTATTATCGATTTAATCGATTCGTTGTTGCAGCCCTAGCTATGATGATATAACATTCCCAGAATACACTGGCTGACCACAAGGCATCTGGTTAAAATTGTTGTTGCAGGTCAACGATGTGGATCTTCGGAACGCCTCCCACGAGGAAGCCATCACAGCCCTCCGGCAGACCCCGCAGAGGGTGCAGCTGGTGGTGTTTCGGGATGAGGCCCAGTACCGGGATGAGGACAATCTGGACATATTCCTCGTGGAGCTGCAAAAGAAAAGTGGGCGTGGCCTGGGACTGAGCATCGTTGGGAAAAGGTATGACGGGCGCTGCTGATGCATCACTGTGGCTGCAGCCAAGGGCACTCACAATCCAATTTTAAAGGGGGCAGTGATAAAAGAAAGTATTTCACTCTTGTGACTTTTGTCAATTATGTAACATTTTTGTAACAAGTATACAGAGCAGTATCTTGAGCTAAACCCACCGAATGAAAGTTCAAGTTCCACATGTTCATTGTTCAATAAATGGTGTTACAATGGTGTGGAGATAACTTGGCAGTAGCCAGGGACTGCAGATGGGGCAGGCTATGTCTCCTCTGCAATAAAACAAACTTACCTGCCTGCACACAATCCTCTCCACAATGTACACGGAGCTGCACATGAGCATTTCTTTGTAACGTTGGGATAGATGTGCTTATGTCGGTTCTCAACGGATCTATCAAGCCCTCAAATGGCTGGTGCCATAGCGGGTCATGAGTGCAGCACCATGGCAAATACAGATCTTAATATGGGTTAAGATGGGACTTTGCTTTGTCGCTTTTTGCTTTAAAAGTACCATAATGTCAAATATATTCAAGGGTCCCTATAGTGAGGAGGTCACATCATCCCAGGCGATCATACGAAATCACCTGCACTCCATGCAGAGTACAGACCTTGCATGAAAGGTTGGTGCTTGAAGTGAGAACACGGATGGCGCCGTGTCAGTCCATAATAGAAGTCACCAGCACTCGATGATGTGTGCAAGAAGTAAAGCACTTTTTATTAAATTGTCACATGCGTCATACAGCCAACGTCACGCAGGGTCCCTTCTTCTGGGTGACATAGTTACCAAAATGTCGCCCAGAAGAAGGGACCCTGTGTGGCCCCGAAATGTTGGCTGTATGACGCATGTGACAATTTAATAAAAAGTGCTTTACTGCTTGCACACATCATCGAGTGCTGGCGACTTCTATTATGGACATCATCACAGGCGACGTTTCGGAACCGCAAGGTTCCTTCCTCAGTCAAAACAGGGAGTCCATCTGGAACCTTGCGTTTCCAAAACGTCGCCTGTGATGATGTGACACTTTGTAGTCAATAAATATTGACTTGTATTTCCGCTGGAGTTCTAGTGACTTCTCTTTACCTGGATTCATTTTGCGGAGGAATCCGCTGTCATTTGTACCACCCACCCGAATTTTCTGGGTACTTTCACCGGTCAGGAATGCGATGGGCTTCTGCGTGTTTTGAATATGGACAGAGCGTTGTCACCCCCATAACAGGAAGTGCCTGAACAAGGACCTTTTATGGTAGGATTGCCAGGTGTTATTCTTATACAACATGCACATTTACAAAATATCAAAAATTTGTTTTGTAATGATGAAAAGTTTATATGAAATGTGTATATGAAACTTTAACCACTTCCAGACGGTCCTTAAAGGAGAACTATGGGGTCAGGGCTTTTCCCCATAGTTCTCCTTAGGGTAACAGTGAGACAAAAACTAGCGTCCTCCCGTCACCCAAAGCTCAGTATACCGCGAACTACAGCTCTCTATATACTGAGACGCTGCAGCTGAAGCGGATCCCGACAATTGTGCCGGGATCCGCCCAGCTGCGTGACTGACAGCTGGCTCTGCCTATCTAGAGGCAGAGCCAGCTGTACCCGCCCCCTCCCCCGTCCATTCCGCCAGTCAGCGCTGGCGGATCAGAGCGGGGAGGGGGGAATCCAGCCCTTCCCCTGTCACGGCAGAGAGCTGTGACAGGATCGAGAGGTGAGCGAACGCCGGTATGTGTTCTCTCACCTCCCGATCTACTGAGCCGACCTGTGACAGTCTCATTGTCACAGGTCGGCTATAACTATGAGGTGAGTGAAAAGCACCCCCCTCATAGTTCTCCTTTAAGGAAATCCTAATATTGCGGGTGTTCCACGGGCTTCCCAATCATGTGATCACTGTGCTTGGCTGCCGCAGTGATCGCATGATGGAGAGCTCAACCCTGACGCGAGGCTGGTCGGTGACACAGCACTGGGGGTGCATGATTGAGTGAGCTCACAGCACAAAACAGTGATGCAAATATGTGACAGCAAGGAATGAGGCCCATCTCCATAGTGCTACATATAGGCGTACATCTGGCAGGAAGGGGTTAATATTAAGTCCCATCATGGCGGGTTCTCTTTAAATTCTATCCAAGCCGTTTCTGTGATTTTAAACACGCAGCAGGGCAGCATTTTTCCTGTCACTGTCACTGTTCTGACTATTATGGGTAAGATAACAGGGATTGTGTGCGGTGATGGCAAGGTGATTGATGTGCTGAGTAAGTGTAATGCATCATCTTCCAGGACCGGCAGCGGAGTCTTCATATCTGACATCGTCAAAGGGGGGGCCGCCGACTACGACGGGAGATTAATGCAGGGGGACCAGATCCTGTCAGTCAACGGCGAGGACGTGCGCAACGCCTCCCAGGAAGTCGTCGCCGCTGTATTAAAGGTGAGAGCTGGGGAGGGGAGATGGGTAGGGGGATATT